CATGGCAGTAATAACCATCAAGAGTGCTGCCGCTGGGCCGCATCACCCATGCACGATTGTTGTAAAAATATCTGATGGTGATTCGTGTTAGATAAAGCTGCCCATCTTGACTTCGATGGTATCTCAGAGTGCTTTACAACGCAATGAGGCACTTACATATCACATCTCGCACCTCAACGCATTTTACGGTAAATGAAGGGTTAGATGGTGAAGATATGGCCGCATGGTTATGTGGGCTCACCCACAAACCAATTATGGAAAATAAATCGGTCTACAGATGAATGTACACGTGGGGTAGGCTGGAATGCACTTGTGTTCTCCCCCCGTTCTGCATGGGTTTCCTCTGGGTTCAGCAGCTTCTTCCCCGAAACTGAACCCACAACAACACAACTGGTCTTGGATCAAAATCGACCTCTAAAGCACTCAATTGGGATCACACACAGCAACTTTGTTCCCAACTGCGAACAAAACTTGGCAGGGCCCTCTTGAATATTTTGTCTTGAGACTCAATGATGTTCATTCTGCATAAACAAGCATAATAATAATGATACAAAATAATAAACACATACACAGGACACATGCAGATTTGCTTACCGTGGCTCAGTGGCTCCAGACTTTGCATCGTATTCTCCGGAGCCCTCTTCTCTGGATCTCAGCGCTATCCGGCCCTGCACACTGCGAGCAGCGGTGGTGGTAGCGGTGGTAATGGTGGTGCTGGTTGTGGCCGTGGCTGCCCCTTGATCATGGACCTCGGCCATGCCCTGAAGCCAGCTGTGTGCGAGCGCCTGAGTGGGAGTCATCCGAAGATTTGGATCCCATCTGTTGAGAGACACGCGGGGGCACACGTGGTGAGAGGCACGTTACAAGGATTTACGTTTCTTCCCTTCTTCCACGAGGTCCAGGAATTCTCACCAGCAGCGGGGAGTACTCCACTGCCCAGTAGCCTAAAAATGCACTTAGCCTGCCACTGCCCATCTTTCATGGGCCTCCACAGACACCGATCTTGACACTGCTGGTACAGGTCATCGGCAGGTTCACTCAGTTTCACATCCTCCTGTACCACATCAGTTCCACCTCTTGTGATATGGCTCAGCGGTGACGACGTGACCCAGACGTACCACATTCTCCACATGTAGAGTTTTGTTATTCAAATTTTGGACTTTCGGATCGGACGAAGAGGAAGAAAAAAATGGGGGCCTATGGGTGTCTCTAACGATTACTTGAAGGAGAGTGACTGATATGAGAATCCTTGTGGGGAGGTGTGGGAGAGGGGAATGGGCAGGCGGGAGGTTGTCTTACTGTATCTACTGTAGGCAAAAATGGACACAGTCCACCAACTCTGGGCCCAGGAGATGATGAATAAGAATGAGAGGGTGGAGCTGGTGATTGATGGAGTGTGATCACCAATAATTTGGAGGAGATTGAGTGATGGGGAATCCTCGTGGGGGGCAGCAGGGGGAAGAGGGAGAGGAGGCAGTTCTTACTGGAGGCAGCGGCTGATAAAGTCCACAAACTCCGTGTCCTGGCTCTTGAGCACAGAGTGTAGTGGGAAGCTCCCCGGCAGGCTGTATGGTTTCTTCCAACCACCTGCAGGGGCCATGCACAGCGGAAGAGAGAGATATACATAGTTACAAACCACATCACCCACCTACCCACTCACCCACCTACCCACCCACTCACCCACCTATCCACCCACCCACTCGCCAACCCACTCACCTAACCATCCCCCCATGGCCTACTCAACAACAATAACTGCCATTTGCCACTAAGTGGCAGTGACATCACCATGGTGCTTGTACCAGGCTATGTGCACTTTAAGGCCACCTGAAGTGTCAAAAGCTCACTGGCAGGAGGTCATGGGACAGACTCCGGTACCATGGGTTGACTGATTGAGATGACTGACTGGTAATTAAATTTAAGGTGGAGGGGTTACCAGCCTCTCGCAGCCATTGGCCTCAGTGGTGGCTACAAGCCCCATGAGGGGAATTGCATGTTGAAATTGACCTTCCCTCCCTTGGCATTGCTTACCACAGCGTTACCGACCGGCACCACCTTTGAGGTAGGGTGTTGTTTTGCAAATTAACCCCGCCACCCCCTCACCCCCCCACCCACGCACACGCCTACCCATCCACCTACCCATCCACCTACCAACCCTTCTACTCAGAAAAAAACATCACTCCGTTGGAATTATGCAATAACAGCCCCAAGCCACCCCTTTTAACTTACCAAAGTATATCAATCCGTAAGGAGCGGCATGTATGAAGTTTCTTGGGGGCACACCCAGCCTCTGCACACGGTTCAGACAAAGACAGAGGTCAATCATAAAGCCTCAGTAGACTGTTGGGGCAAGTGCTGTAAGCAAGTAGCAGCATGTATTGAGGCTGGAACTGTGGCACACGAGGGCATGGTTGATCACAACGCCCCAGGTACGTCACACACCAAACTAGGTACTTATTTGAAGCGGAGTTGATCTAGGAGAGGCCTCGGGACCAGTTCTGATAATTGAACCTCAGGGCGGTACCCCAGGGTACCATAGTTCCCCGGCTCTCGCATAATGTCCGTGATGCAATCATTTTTAGTCTGGTGATGGTCGGCAATGCGGTAATCGACTCATCTCAACGAGCTGTACACAATGCACTCTTAAAAGTTTAATTTTTCGAAAACGGATTTTTTAATGCTAATATTTGGTGTTTCGACATCGCGGAGTAGCACTGATTTCGCATTGATTGGTACCCCAGTCGCGGAGTTAAGTACACCCCTGGGAAAAAAGTGTCCCAGAAATAAAATATTTAATTGCCTCGGCCATTTTGTATTATTTGGTACCCTGGTGTACCACCATGAGGATCAATTGCTGCCACCGGTGCTGGTGGTGGCAGTGGCCATGAGTGGGAATCAAACTCGGCTCTCTGCCGGGGTTTGTAGCACAGTGCGGTGCGCTAACTACTGCACCACACATTCTATACACATAGGCAAAGACAAATATCCCCCACATAGCTTTAACATACTTTTGGTCACACACATAGACAAGACAAACACGTGTACACACATGTACAAGACAAAGATCCCCGGTATAACCTAAACAGACTTGGGGCAAGTGATGTTAGCGAGGAGCACATCTGAAGGCTGACACGCCACACGAGGGGGGTGGGTGGCCAACACCACTCCTGGCCGCCTTTTTCTCCCTAGTGGTGATGTTTACATTGCACCAGGTACTCATTGGAGTCTGAGTCGACCTAGGGGAGGCCCAGGACCGGTTCAGATAATCGTCACGTGTTGGCTGAGAGCCAGAATAGAACTTGGGTCTCCAGGTTCGTAGCGCACCGTGTTAACCGCTACACTACCGTGTACACACATGTACAAGATACACATGTACACACACACGCACGTGTAAACACGCACACAGCACAAACAGCTATAATTCGCCAAATCACCATACGGCCCCCCCTAACCCAGGAGCGGACATTGTGCGAAATACCTCCATGCAGGACAGAAGAAAATCGTCTTCGTTGTTGGGCTGGAATAATTGCTTTCCAGTGGCCATCTCTGCTACCATGCAGCCCAGTGACCAAATGTCGGCAGTGCAGGTTAAATCATAGCCCAGCAACATCTCCGGAGCTATGTATGGCAGGGCATCACCGTGTCTGGCTGCACAATCACAACAACAAAAAATACATGCACTGTGCTCGCTTAGCCTTTAACAACATCGTCATCACACATGCAGTCACATAGATACGCACACACAGATGCTCACACACAGATGCCCACACACAGACACTCACACAAAGACAGACATAGACCCCATACACAACGGACACACGCAGACACTCAAACACATACACAGACAGACATAGGTATGCACATTCACAACAACCGCCATTCACCACGAAGTGGTGGTGACGTCAACATGGTGCTTGTGCCATGCTAGGTGTACTTGTAAGACGTGAAGTGTCGAAGGCCCACTGATAGGTGGTCACCGAACAGACCCAGGTGCCATGGGTTGACTGACTGAGATAACTGGCAAATGCACCAACTGTGTTCTCCACTGTGCCACCTCATTACATTTAAGCCGCCCGGCGCTCCGCTCAATGCTGTGAGGGCAACTGCCTCCAACTACCCAGCAGGGTCCCTCACAAGCCTCCTCCATAGAGGCTGATCTTGACACTGCTGGTACCAGTCATTGGCAAGTTCAATCAGCTCCACATCCTTCTGTACCACATCAGTCAATATGTTCTCTAGCCCGTGCAATGTCCGTTTAGCCCTATCTATCTGGCTGATCAAAAGCTGCTTGGGGATGCGGTGGCTGGGCACATGCAGATGAGGTCACTCACGTTGACTTCCCACAGTAAAGCTGGTCTTAAAATCCATGACCCTAATGGTGCCAGCCACGGTGTCTTTGACCATGATGTTGTTCTAGAAGAGAGGCAGAAGGGATTCACACACAGAGGTTATGTTGATAGAATTCAGCCAGCAGTGGATCGATCATGTACCACAATACATATTAAACAGGGGAATCAGAAGAGGTGGCGCGCTCTTGCCAAGCATCAGTCACAGCGACAATCGCTGTTTTCTGACAGCTATCACTGGGGGTGCCCCTTTCAAGTTCGTTAAGATGAGAGATGCGAGTGGCTTACGCCTGTTAATAACTGAGATATTGTCGAAGTAAAAGGGGATGGTGCTATCGACAACTGATCACCGTTGCTCCAACAGTAGAGCTGAATGAAGTGCACAGCTGTATGAGAGCCTGCTTATGAATCCCGAACAAGTAAACCTGTAAAAACAAAGTTTTTCACTATAAATCCTTTATATGCGTGGCGGCTAGAGTCTTCTCGTCCTCTGGCTTGAGATGGCTGCTACCTATGGGTCAGATGATTGTCTGCCAGTATTAAGCAATTGGTAATTAAATATTTAATTTGTTTTCCCTAAACAGTGTAAAATTTTGGATTTTTTTTTCACGAAAATTATTTGTCACACACAACGAGTATGTGTGGAAAATGTCAGCTCGATTGGATCACGGGAAGTGGGTTAAAAAACGAGCGAAAGATTTGCACGGTCCTAAGCAAGCAAGCGAACTTAATATAAAGGATTTAAAAATATATTCGCCTGTGGAGGACGCGGGGATCGATCCCGCGACCTTTGGCATGGGAAGCGAGGGCGCTACCAACTGCGCTACTCCGCCACGGCCTGTGGATGGGTTACGCTCTGGGCTCTTACACTGTGACGTTCAGCCAAAGCCATGAATGAGTTCTATTTGAATATATGTAAAATAATTTTTTTTGCCTAAAAAGTGTAACATTTTGGGAATTTTTTTTCACGAACATTAATTGTCTCGCACAACGAGTCTGTGTGGATAATGTCAGCTCGATTGGATCACGGGAAGTGGGTTTAAAAACGACCGAAAGATTTGCACGGTCGTAAGCAAGCAAGCAAGCGAACTTAATATAAAGGATTTAAAAATCATCGACAACGTGCATGGATTCTGTGATGCTTTCCACCATGCATTTGCCTTTCATAGTTTTCCATTCGCAAAATCGAAGCTGACGGGCAACCAACAGGTCAAAATACGCATTAGGTATATTTTTTGAAAATTGTCGTTTTAGCTCCGGTTCATGTCTCCCAAGTTTTGGCCAACGCCGTGATCAATGTGGCCAGTTTTCTCTGTGGTGAGTCCCCAATAGAGACATGCCTCTTCACCAAAGTCATAATTTATACCGGATCATCTTCACCAGTTTTACTGTGACCCTGCCTCCTTCCAAATAGACAGACAGGCCTAACACATGAACCTTGTGAGGTACAACACGACTCTTCTCCAAAGACGCATTGAACACCATGTTCACTTACTGGCCTGATGGCTGCATGGACGGCCTCCTTTAACTCCATATGCTTCAGGAATGTGAGGATTTCCCTGGTGTATGCTTTAATTAACGCCATGTCCAAGCCCCGGAGCCCTGCTTCTTCAATCACTTGCTGGAGACTCTCCCTGTGAGAGAGCCAGCGACAACAGCAACAACAACGACGTTTGTAGCGTCAGTACCATCCTGCAATGCTATGCTCATTCTGATAAGGACAATAATACTATTGTCCATGCACGTTCATGACCGATATTATTATTCATCATTAATCCTGTTTGGGTTTAGGTCTATTTGCTGATAATCCAAATCAGATGGCACATCTGCCCACTTATATTTTGTATATTATATCGATTTATATTGCACCTTATTCCAGCATTTGTAAAAATTGTACATGCCATGATTGTGGTTTAGATAAAGAGTGGGTTGTAAAAAGTGGTGGTGTGGTTATGGTGACAGGACAACATGTGACAGGTTAAGGAGGGGTTGTGGTACGCCTGGTTGTAGCTGTAGGGGTAGTGATAGAGATAATGATATTGATAGGGGTTGGAGACAGCCTGGTCCTAGCAGAAAGGGTAGTGATAGGGGTAGTGATTGGGGTAGACCTGATCTTAGCTGGGGAATGGGAGCAGGGTGCGTGCATCTTGCACATCCCTACTTATTTGAGGCTGAGACCTAGGGAAGGCCCAGGACTGGTTCAGATAATTGTCACTGGTGTTGGCCGTGAGTGGAAATTCAACCTGGGTCACTCGGTGTCTAGTGCAGCGTGCTAATTGTTACACTACCGCTCCCTTACTCATATTCTCCAGAACAGGGGGGGAGACACAAACTAAACACAGAAAAGCACCCGAGCTGAGAATCGAACCAAGGCCCTTCTCGCCGAGAGGCATGAGCGTCACCACTGCGCTGTCACCACCCTGCTGATGGAATGGGGTGTGGCTAGGTGAACAGGGGAAGGGTTGATAGAGAAAAGAGGAGGGGCCTCCAGTGCAACCACGTGTGTGTCCTGGTTGAGCCTCGCAGACACAGGGCAGCGCCACGGTATTACAATGTGTCGATGGCACAAGTGTCAAAAGTAACCACGCTATGGGGGAACACGTGGTACGTACTTCAACAGCTCCAGCACGATGCAGTAGTGCCCTCTGAAAGTGAAATCATCCAGGACTTTGACGACATTGGAGTCCTGGTTATAGTCCTTGCGTTGACGTTCCATAGCCCTCTTGAGCCCCATCTCCAATATTTCATCCGTGGAGCTGCACAGAGGAAGTCCACAAGTTAATCACTTAGACTTGTGTAAAGGATGCCCCGAAGTAACGCCTATTCGGAAATAAATAAATACATATACATTCACTGGGTCTAACGGCTTTGTGAGTTTGAAGTGCTCAACTTTCATTACCGAGGAGCTATCACGGGAAAAGTGGCCGACATATGGCACACAATTGGATTTGAAGGTAGAGAGCCATTCAAATAGGATTGTACATATGTATGCTGAACTTCATTTGCACTGTACATAGCCAACCATGCTAATTGGAGATGCGTGGGAAGGACAACAAACTTAAGATGAAAAGCAGTTCTAAAGACATTTGTTTTCAATTTAGATTTAAAAGTACATAGTTTCAGTGACTTTCTAATATCAGAAGGAAGAGCGTTCCAGACGGCCACAGAAGTGCATCTGAAAGCGTGAGATGCAGTGACCCTCTTTGTTCAAAGGCTAGCCAAAAGCCGCTGCAAAGATTGGTCGTCAGAGGAAACTTAATGCAAATAAGGGGGTTAAATTGGGAGAGACTGAACAAATTAAGAGGGATTGGTGGTGGAGAACCATGAAAAGTTCCAGAAAGGTTTGGGAAGAGGATAAAATTAGCTCGGGAGAGAAGGGGGTTTGGGGTGCTGCCTGAATAGAGTAATTCCCTGATGTGTGACTGTGATTAACTTGAGCCGGCTCCGAGCGTGGTCCAAGGAATGCTCAGGATTTTGTAGGAGCTGAGCCTGTGCCGAGCTATGGCTGAGCTGCTCAAGCATATTTAATAGCAGCCAAGTGACTCAAGCCAGAGCCTAAGAGTGAGAGTTCGAGACTGAGCTCGAGCTGAGCTCGAGCTGAGCCATGGCTCTGAATGTGGGTCTGATATTGCAAGGCGAGCACAACTAATGAAGGCGCTATGTTTCACTGACAGAGTCTGCAGTAGTTGCACAGTTGGCGCCAATGTTATTTATAATCACAGTAGTTGAGTAATGTGGAGGTGATTTTTGAGTATTGGGATATTTGGTCCAATACCAGTTATATTGTATGTCTTCTTGTTTCTTTCGGTAAAGTCACGTAGAAGGGAAGTAATAAAATAATAAAAATAAAACATAATAAAACAATTCTCACGACGTTTCGGCTACAACGCAAGCAGCCGTCTTCAGGTGAAGAATGAGACACTACCAAACTAGGAGCTTATATATAAGCTGCATTGGGGGTTGAAGAGCGCCTTAACAAAAAGAATGTGCATGTGAAGAGGAATTTAGCATATTCATTGAAAATGCGTAGGCGTTGGGCGGGGGGGTGTCAAAGTCATATTATGCCCATGCATTATGCAGGATCAGCAGCAACCAAGGGGGGTGCAGGGATTAGCAGTAACAAAGGAAAGGAATGTTAATGATATGTAGCTGCAGTTACTCAACAACCACGTAGAAAACTAAAGTATAAACTACATAAAAAACTAAAGTATAAACTGCATCGCACCATCAGTATACTTACTATACTCTATAATAAGCTGAGTTACTAACAGCAAGTAATACATTACAATTCTACCTCGTAAAAATTCTATAATATGCTTCCATCTAAACCTTATTCTCTTACATCACACGAGCATATACCGTACTATATACTGCCATAGATAAACCCAACATTAAATTATATACTGTATTGCTGTAAACCAACCTATATCTTATACATTTAATATAACACTATGTATTATTCTACACACCCTAATGTGTATCGAAATGGTTTATTACGTCCTTCCAATGATTGCTGAGCCAGAATCCATCTTCTCGGTTAAAATTGTCTCTGTGTTTGTATATGTGGATCGCCTCATGAACGAATCTCTCATGATAGCCAGATGGCTTGCAGAGCAACCTCTGTCTTGGAGAAGTCAATATCATGTGAGCCCACTGAGTTGTAACAGTGATCTGCCACGGCTGAAGGTGTTTGTCCTACCGTGTTTCAGGTCAGCTTTATGTTCACGGATGCGGTCCGAGACATGTCGTTTGGTTTCCCCAATGTAACTGCTACCACAGAGGAAACTTAGTTTGTAGACGCCAGGGTACTGTATGTCTGGAACCACATCTTTTACAGACGGTACCAGATTACGGATTTTATGTACTGTGTTGAATCGGACCTGGATCTTGTGTTTAATCAGGATTTTGGAGATCTTTTTTGTGACCCCAGCAATGTAGGGTAAGGTGATGGTCTTGAAAGGCTCCTCAACAGGATCCTTCTTGATGGTTGGAGTGATGGCTTTGCGGATTGTATAGTCGGAGTAACCATTTGCCTTAAGAGCTTGGCGTACGTGTTTGAGTTCACTGGAAATGTGTTCATGGTCGGAGATGCATTGGGCTCTATGATATAGAGTCTTGATGAGGGAATTCTTCTGGGATGGATGGTGGTGGGAATCCGGTTTTAGATAAGCATCCGTGTGGGTGGCTTTCCTGTAGACAGAGTGGCTCATTGAACCATCAGGTCTCCTTTTGATTAGGACATCCAAAAAGGGTAGCTTGCCATCATTTTCGACTTCCATGGTGAATCTGATGGCTGGGTGTATGGAATTGATGTGGTCGAGAAATTGGTCTAGAGCAGGCCGGCCATGTGGCCAGATGACAAAAGTGTCGTCTACGTACCTCTTCCATAAGGTCGGGCGTAGAGTGGCAGTCTGGATAGCGTCCGTCTCAAATTTCTCCATGAAGATGTTGGCTACAACCGGAGATAGGGGGGAGCCCATTGGGGTGCCCTCAATTTGCTTGTAGAAGGTTCCATTCCAGGTGAAGTATGTATTGGTTAAGCAGTGTCTCACCAGGGGGGGTACCCCAGCATTCAGTCCTTGATGAACCAAGTCTTCAATGATTGCGATGGTGTCAGGCACAGGTACCTTGGTGAACAAGGAAACCACATCAAAACTGACAAGCAGGTCGTCTGGGGACAGGGCAATCCCCTTGATTGTCGATACCAGGTCAGTAGAGTTTAGTACTGCAGAGGTGGTTTTTCCAGTGAAAGGCCGTAGGATTTCGGACAAAAAACGAGCCAGTTTGTAAGTGGGGGAGTTGATAGTAGAGACAATGGGACGAAGAGGTGTATCTTCTTTATGTATCTTTGGCAAGCCGTACAATCTTGGTGGTCTGGCTGCAGAAGGTTTCAACGAGAACTGTTTGGTCTGATCAATTAATGCGGTTGAAGCAGAAATGATGTTGTTGGTTTTGGAGACGAGGCTGTTGGTGGGGTCTCTTTTTATTTTTGTATAGCTGCCATCGTTTAATAGTTCTTGAATTTTGTTGTTGTATTCTATTTTGTCCATGATGACAGTGGCATTGCCTTTGTCGGCTGAGAGGATGACAATGTCATCCCTCTTTTTTAATTGAGCTAATTCAAAACGCTCCTCTTTGCTGATGTTGCTAGCTGGCATCTTAGCGTTTTTGAGGGTTACAGAGATTTCAGATCTTGCTACGTCTGCAGCGATGTGACTCAAGCCCTTGAGAGCTACATCTACTCGAGCAATTATATCATTAACTGGTATGTGTCTAGGTGTGACTGCAAAGTTTAGTCCTTTAGCTAAAACGGATTTCAAACCTTCAGAAATAGGACTGTTACTGCGATTAATTACGACTTTGTTAATATCTAGCTTTTCAATGTGTGGGTCCGGTTTCTTGTTTGAGAGGCGATTGAATTTGGAAATCAAGTTGTCCTTACATTTAGTCGACATAGCGGCAGCTGAAGAGGCAGTCATTTTTTCCACATGTTCCCAATCCGATGTGGACATTGTTACACTCAAAGATAAGTGTGATTTGTAGAGTGTCTTGTCTAACTGATCTAGTTCGGTGCGCGTAAGTCTGATTTTCTCTGAGATAAGAGCTAAGCTAGTTCTAGACAGAATTCGTTTCGCATTAGAAGAAGTTACAGCAGCAGATGTTAGTGTAAATGCGTTTGGTATTACCTTAGAGTCGCGGCATCTCTTCAGAAAGGTGAGAGACTCGATTAGCTGAGCCTTCTTATCCCGGAGCTTGTTGAAGGATCTCAAAGTTATGTGGAAACCCTCCCCGTAGAGGCGGTTAAATTTCGATTTAAAGCTTTCGTGACTGCAGGGATTCATCTTCTTGTTTCTTTCGGTAAAGTCACGTAGAAGGGAAGTAATAAAATAATAAAAATAAAACATAATAAAACAATTCTCACGACGTTTCGGCTACAACGCAAGCAGCCGTCTTCAGGTGAAGAATGAGACACTACCAAACTAGGAGCTTATATATAAGCTGCATTGGGGGTTGAAGAGCGCCTTAACAAAAAGAATGTGCATGTGAAGAGGAATTTAGCATATTCATTGAAAATGCGTAGGCGTTGGGCGGGGGGGTGTCAAAGTCATATTATGCCCATGCATTATGCAGGATCAGCAGCAACCAAGGGGGGTGCAGGGATTAGCAGTAACAAAGGAAAGGAATGTTAATGATATGTAGCTGCAGTTACTCAACAACCACGTAGAAAACTAAAGTATAAACTACATAAAAAACTAAAGTATAAACTGCATCGCACCATCAGTATACTTACTATACTCTATAATAAGCTGAGTTACTAACAGCAAGTAATACATTACAATTCTACCTCGTAAAAATTCTATAATATGCTTCCATCTAAACCTTATTCTCTTACATCACACGAGCATATACCGTACTATATACTGCCATAGATAAACCCAACATTAAATTATATACTGTATTGCTGTAAACCAACCTATATCTTATACATTTAATATAACACTATGTATTATTCTACACACCCTAATGTGTATCGAAATGGTTTATTACGTCCTTCCAATGATTGCTGAGCCAGAATCCATCTTCTCGGTTAAAATTGTCTCTGTGTTTGTATATGTGGATCGCCTCATGAACGAATCTCTCATGATAGCCAGATGGCTTGCAGAGAACCTCTGTCTTGGAGAAGTCAATATCATGTGAGCCCACTGAGTTGTAACAGTGATCTGCCACGGCTGAGGTGTTTGTCCTACCGTGTTTCAGGTCAGCTTTATGTTCACGGATGCGGTCCGAGACATGTCGTTTGGTTTCCCCAATGTAACTGCTACCACAGAGGCAACTTAGTTTGTAGACGCCAGGGTACTGTATGTCTGGAACCACATCTTTTACAGACGGTACCAGATCACGGATTTTATGTACTGTGTTGAATCGGACCTGGATCTTGTGTTTAATCAGGATTTTGGAGATCTTTTTTGTGACCCCAGCAATGTAGGGTAAGGTGATGGTCTTGAAAGGCTCCTCAACAGGATCCTTCTTGATGGTTGGAGTGATGGCTTTGCGGATTGTATAGTCGGAGTAACCATTTGCCTTAAGAGCTTGGCGTACGTGTTTGAGTTCACTGGAAATGTGTTCATGGTCGGAGATGCATTGGGCTCTATGATATAGAGTCTTGATGAGGGAATTCTTCTGGGATGGATGGTGGTGGGAATCCGGTTTTAGATAAGCATCCGTGTGGGTGGCTTTCCTGTAGACAGAGTGGCTCATTGAACCATCAGGTCTCCTTTTGATTAGGACATCCAAAAAGGGTAGCTTGCCATCATTTTCGACTTCCATGGTGAATCTGATGGCTGGGTGTATGGAATTGATGTGGTCGAGAAATTGGTCTAGAGCAGGCCGGCCATGTGGCCAGATGACAAAAGTGTCGTCTACGTACCTCTTCCATAAGGTCGGGCGTAGAGTGGCAGTCTGGATAGCGTCCGTCTCAAATTTCTCCATGAAGATGTTGGCTACAACCGGAGATAGGGGGGAGCCCATTGGGGTGCCCTCAATTTGCTTGTAGAAGGTTCCATTCCAGGTGAAGTATGTATTGGTTAAGCAGTGTCTCACCAGGGGGGGTACCCCAGCATTCAGTCCTTGATGAACCAAGTCTTCAATGATTGCGATGGTGTCAGGCACAGGTACCTTGGTGAACAAGGAAACCACATCAAAACTGACAAGCAGGTCGTCTGGGGACAGGGCAATCCCCTTGATTGTCGATACCAGGTCAGTAGAGTTTAGTACTGCAGAGGTGGTTTTTCCAGTGAAAGGCCGTAGGATTTCGGACAAAAAACGAGCCAGTTTGTAAGTGGGGGAGTTGATAGTAGAGACAATGGGACGAAGAGGTGTATCTTCTTTATGTATCTTTGGCAAGCCGTACAATCTTGGTGGTCTGGCTGCAGAAGGTTTCAACGAGAACTGTTTGGTCTGATCAATTAATGCGGTTGAAGCAGGAAAGCCACCCACACGGATGCTTATCTAAAACCGGATTCCCACCACCATCCATCCCAGAAGAATTCCCTCATCAAGACTCTATATCATAGAGCCCAATGCATCTCCGACCATGAACACATTTCCAGTGAACTCAAACACGTACGCCAAGCTCTTAAGGCAAATGGTTACTCCGACTATACAATCCGCAAAGCCATCACTCCAACCATCAAGAAGGATCCTGTTGAGGAGCCTTTCAAGACCATCACCTTACCCTACATTGCTGGGGTCACAAAAAAGATCTCCAAAATCCTGATTAAACACAAGATCCAGGTCCGATTCAACACAGTACATAAAATCCGTGATCTGGTACCGTCTGTAAAAGATGTGGTTCCAGACATACAGTACCCTGGCGTCTACAAACTAAGTTGCCTCTGTGGTAGCAGTTACATTGGGGAAACCAAACGACATGTCTCGGACCGCATCCGTGAACATAAAGCTGACCTGAAACACGGTAGGACAAACACCTCAGCCGTGGCAGATCACTGTTACAACTCAGTGGGCTCACATGATATTGACTTCTCCAAGACAGAGGTTCTCTGCAAGCCATCTGGCTATCATGAGAGATTCGTTCATGAGGCGATCCACATATACAAACACAGAGACAATTTTAACCGAGAAGATGGATTCTGGCTCAGCAATCATTGGAAGGACGTAATAAACCATTTCGATACACATTAGGGTGTGTAGAATAATACATAGTGTTATATTAAATGTATAAGATATAGGTTGGTTTACAGCAATACAGTATATAATTTAATGTTGGGTTTATCTATGGCAGTATATAGTACGGTATATGCTCGTGTGATGTAAGAGAATAAGGTTTAGATGGAAGCATATTATAGAATTTTTACGAGGTAGAATTGTAATGTATTACTTGCTGTTAGTAACTCAGCTTATTATAGAGTATAGTAAGTATACTGATGGTGCGATGCAGTTTATACTTTAGTTTTTTATGTAGTTTATACTTTAGTTTTCTACGTGGTTGTTGAGTAACTGCAGCTACATATCATTAACATTCCTTTCCTTTGTTACTGCTAATCCCTGCACCCCCCTTGGTTGCTGCTGATCCTGCATAATGCATGGGCATAATATGACTTTGACACCCCCCCGCCCAACGCCTACGCATTTTCAATGAATATGCTAAATTCCTCTTCACATGCACATTCTTTTTGTTAAGGCGCTCTTCAACCCCCAATGCAGCTTATATATAAGCTCCTAGTTTGGTAGTGTCTCATTCTTCACCTGAAGACGGCTGCTTGCGTTGTAGCCGAAACGTCGTGAGAATTGTTTTATTATGTTTTATTTTTATTATTTTATTACTTCCCTTCTACGTGACTTTACCGAAAGAAACAAGAAGATGAATCCCTGCAGTCACGAAAGCTTTAAATCGAAATTTATATTGTATGTGTTTTTTAAGCTTGAGGAAGAAACTAAAACTGTTAAACAAAACTATTTTAAATTTTACCAGGTAAGGCCCACTGACCTATATAGCTATTTTTTAGAGGCTACATGGCCACAGATGATAGCTTCACCAAGTGGCTTATCACGTAGCAGCCAAATACTCTAAACGCATGTTTCTAAATGTGGAGTAAAAAACCGGAGGACCCGAAGAAAATCCATGCTGCCACGGGGAGATCACTACAAATATATAGGTGTCATTGAACCCACGACCTCCTGCATACCAGGCGAGGGAGTTAAAATCTCGCCACGAGAAACTCGAGAACGCAAAGGGAACCAATGCAGAAGAGATGGAGAACATACAAAATCTACACGGGAGGGTGCCCAATTCAGGAGTCGAACCCAGGCCCACTTCTCGCTGTGAGGCATGAGTTTCACTTCCACATGGCCTCATTACGGTGCCTCTGTGGAGTCTTACCTTAAGGGTGTGACCAACATCTTCACGACCACGATGTTATTTGTCTTGTGGTCACGACACTCGATGACCTGGCCTTGACCTCCCACCACAATTGTCTTGAGCACCTCATAACGATAGTTGAGGTGCACATGTGGGTCCTGAGCGACAATCAAACAGAGGTCAGGGGTGAGGGCACCAACTCCATCATCAACACTCATTCACCCCCCCCCCCCTGTTAATTCAGTGCTCGGTTGGACAGGAATGTCGCGGGTACAATTTAATAACCTGATTCACAGTTGTGACGAACTGAAGCATGATACATTTTCATTGTGTGTGTGTGTTGGTAGGAGAGAGAGCTCTGTCATGCTGGGAATCTTCATGCTTGGTTGGAAGACCATACTGTGTCTGATAATGCTGTGTGCAAGGACACTGCACGTCATCACGCAGTGAGTGATTATACTGTGTGAAGATACTGCGCGTGATGATGCTGTGTATGATGAAGATGATAATGAGGCCTGAAGTAGCAATCAGGGCAGCCGCCCTGGTTGCTACTGCAGGTGTAATAACAAGAAACCACGAACCCTGCTACTGCTGGGTTATGTGACCGCCCCAAGTAGGTGTTTTGTTGTGAGTCTCACCAGAATGTAATTATGCTCTTCGTCGTCGTAGCCATAGTTATTGGTGCCCCGGGAATCGTTGTGGAACGTATAGTACCAGATGTCTTTCATGGCGGCAAGTTCTGCCTTCTCTCGGCGAGTTAGTTGAGGGCCAATAAGACCCAGGATTTCTGCGGATATGAGAAAAACAATAACTGTAAGTGATTTCGATTTAAAGCTTTCGTGACTGCAGGGATTCATCTTCTTGGTTCTTTCGGTAAAGTCACGTAGAAGGGAAATAATAAAAAGACAGCGTCTTTCCGACAGACCTGTTCTTCTCCTGAGGATGGTTGCTTGCGTTGTGGCCGAAACGTCGTGAGAATTGTATTTTATAATGTTGTATTTTTATTATTTTATTATTTCCCTTCTACGTGACTTTACCAAAAGAACCAAGAAGAACTGTACGTGATATTTTATCATCGAAGCGCGTTTTATATAGGACAGCCTCACTCAGTCTCAAGACTCCTTTTCAGGAGGTTCCTGCAGATCTTTTGCAGAATGGGAGCAGTGCTGGTGCTGATATGTGTGATCCTAAGTTGAGGAATTCGTCAGGTAAATATTTCAGGATTGAAATGTTTTGGCCAATACATTGTGTGGTTATTTTTGTAGCGATGGGATGAAACTGGGATACCCATATGCCCACACACACACTCACACACACTCTCACTCCCTCACGTTCTTCAGAACTGAGGAAGAATATAGAAACTACACACAGGGAGGTGCTCGAATCAGGAATCAAACCCAGGACCTTCCTGCTGTGAGACATGAGTGTTGCCGTTATGCTTCCACCCTGCCACGTAAAGTTGTGATGCCATACTGGCCTATGTGGCTATTGATGTGTTTTTGTTGTTACAGTACTGAGGCCAGTACATAGATAATCATCAGTTTGTAGAAAGTCTGGCAGACTAGGATTGAACAATTATTGTAACCATCATGTGAGAAAAGAGATCAAAGTAAATATGGGAGTTCTAGTTAACTCCAAACTCTAGCTTCCAAAAGAGCGACTGCTAGGCTCTACATTATCACTCTCACTGTATCAGTCATTCAGCTGCTAATCAGCAGAAAAATACATATCCCCCCCCCATGCAACATGGCCACCATGATGTTCCTCATGCAACATGGCCACCTTGACATCATCCATGCAACATAGTCGACATGACATCACCCCTGCAACATGGCCACTGTTACGTCTCACATGACTATTATTACCTTTGGGTGATCTTCTCCGGATGGAGGAAGTAACCGCAGTGTCGCAAGACCCGCCATTTCTTCCACCTTCAGCGTTGCTCATCTACACAAAGACAAAGGTTCCCCACATAGGATTCAACAAGGTGTTGAGTTAAGTGCAGTAGGTGAGTACTGAGCAAGCACCGATGATATCTGGGCTCCACATTCAGGAGGGTCCTGCTGATAGTTCAAAGTTAATGTGCAAGTTTATTGATGGGCTATGTGATATATTGGTGTGGCTGAGGACTGCTTTGTTGTTGTTTTTGCTGCCTTTCCCAATATTAAATCTTGACTTAAAGCTTTCGTGATTGCAGGAATTCATAATCTTTGGGTCTTTCCGTAAAGTCGCGTAGATAGGTTCAAATTAAAAGAAAAAACGTGACGTTTCGATCACAACACAAGCGATCGTCATCAGGAAGAAAACAGAGGAGGAAAGCTGCTAAAACAGACTTCTTTAAAAGTTCAAAATGGGTGCAAGCCCAAGGGTCATAAACGAAGTGGGCGGGGCTAGTGATGTTAATATGAGAAATTAGCATGTTAATGTAAGATCGGAGAGTGGCCTCCACGGCGAGCACGCTGAGGTGGCTATGTTAATGTGAGAGATTAGCATGTTAATGTAAGATCGCAGAGCCGACGGTACGTGGCTACACCCATTTTAAACCTTTAAAACAGTCTGATTTGAGCAGCTGTCCCCCTCTGTTTTCCTCCTGATGACGATCGCTTGTGTTATGATTAAAACGTCGTCATTTTTTATTTATTTATTTTGAATTTGAACCTATCTACGTGACTTTACCGAAAGACCCAAAGAATATGGTTTCCCAATATTGATAAATAAGACTTGTATAATTAATTAATGATTTAAAGTTACTGACTTGCTTTCCATTTGTCTAATTTGCACTCCTATTGTTTTATATTGTTTTCTGTTGTAACTTGCTGACCCTCCCATACTGGACATCTGTGAAAACAAGCTTCGTAGGTCATTGGATTCTTACAGTCTAAATAAAGATTTTGATTCTGATGTCAAATCTCAGCATTGGGATGTTTGTCTGATATCAAGATGCCACACCTGGATTTACATTGAGACAGAAAGAGGAACACGTGGATTGGAAGATACACAGGTTAATGGGATCATTCAGAATGTTAAGAAAACTGAGTGGGGCTGGGCCAGGACACGCCACGGCCAGAAGGGATGGTGATGGTTGATTGGTTGATCGTGAATAACGGAGTGGCAGGAACGCATCTGAGAAAACGTCCGCCATCGAGATGGAGCTATGAAATAGTATCATAGAATGCAGAGCATGCGCTGGCCAGATTACTCCATCGCTAGATTGTGAAAGGTGCCAGTGGCTCGAGAAGGGAGGCCTTCATCCAACAGTGGATAGATAAGAATGCTCTAAATGTTTATACATAGATAGACAGGCAGGTACACAGACAGGATCTCAGAAAGACATTCTGATAGAAACACACACATACACACGGGTAGGCAAGCAGATGCACACCCAGGTAGACAGGTAGGCAACAGGCACATGGATGGAGAGTGGAGAACACACGTTCACCTCATACTTCACCGCGCGAGTCGAGGGACCCACACTTACCTCCATGGCAGTGACTTGCAGAGCAGCGTTGTGTACAGAGCTCACGTCGTTCCTGGCGTCGTCCGGGTCTCTGCGTGGAGAGCGGTGGAGAGCGGGAGAGAGAGGAGAGGGTCACGCAGAGTCGAGGGTGTGTGACGTAACTGGTTCCCATGTCACAACACGAATCAGGTCACAGCACAGACTCACATCATCAACACCGACTCTGATCAGCACGGTTGGCTATGTACTGTGCGAAAGAAGTTCAACATACATACATCACCATAAACCCAGATGAATAACATGGGCTTGCCTCATCAATACGGACTCACATCAACACGAACTCACATCATCAGCACGAACTCACATCATCAGCACGGACTCACACCATCACCACAAATCCACAGAAACAACATGGACTCACATCATGACCATTAACCTACGTAAATATCATGGACTCGTATCATCAATACGGACTCATACACTCAACATGAAACCACATCATCAGCAATAACCCACAATCGGCATGAATCCACGTAACCAACACAGACTCACATCTTCACCATGAACCCACATCATCAACACTGACTCACATTTCGAATTAAAGCTTTCGTGACTGCAGGGATTCGTCTTCTTGGATCTTTCGGTAAAGTCACGTAGAAGGGAAGTAATAAAATAATTAAGAAAATATATTTAGTATACTGATGATACTATGTAGTTTATACTTTCGTTTTTTACGTGGTTGATTAGTTACTGCAGCTACATACTATTAACATTCCTTCCCTTTATTAATGCTACCCCTATCCCCTCCCTTTGATGCTGCTAATCCTGAATAATGCACGGGCATAATATGACTTTGAAAACCCCCTGCCCACCTCCTACGCATTTCACAAGTAGTACTAATCACATACCTGCATTTCCCATAAATATGCTAAATTCCTCTTGATACGCAAATCATTTTGTCAAGGCGCCCTTCCCCCCTTCCAACCCAGCTTAAATATACGCTCCAAGCGTGGTGGTGTTTCATTCAGACGCTGTCTCCCCGACAGACCTGGTCTTCACCTGAAGACGGCTGCTTGCGTTGTGGCCGAAACGTCGTGAGAATTGTATTTTATTATGTTTTATTTTTATTCTTTTATTACTTCCCTTCTACGTGACTTTACCGAAAGAACCAAGACTGACTCACATCTTCACCATGAACCCACATCAACACAGATTGACACCCTCACCGCGAACCCACGACACGGACTCACACCCTCACATAATCCTCACCTCGTCGAGGCTCGCTCCGATGGCTTCAGCTGCTGCACGATGTCGTCTCACCGCGCCTCTCGATCGCCGCCTTTCGCCCAAACTGCCAGAGGCACGTGGGGGGCGGGGCCAGGAAACCACGCCCTCCGTGACGTAACAGTCCGGAGCTCCTCCCCCTCAGCACCTTCCCCCCCCTATGCCCCCCTCCCTCCACTAACACCTCCACGAAAACAGACCACTACTAACACCACCACTAACAACCCCACCACTACTAACAACAACCCCACCACTAGCACCACCACTAACAACAATCCCACGAACACCACTACTAACAACAACCCCCCACTAACACACCACCACTAACACACCACCACCACTAACACACCACCACTAACACACCACCACTAACACACCACCACTAACGTACCACCACTAACACACCACCACCACTAACACACCACCACTAACGTACCACCACTAACACACCACCACCACTAACACACCACCACTAACGTACCACCACTAACGACCACACTACCACTACCACCACCACTAACAACACCACACTAACGTACCACCACTAACACCACTAACTAACACCACCACTAACACCCACCACTAACGTACCACCACTAACACACCACC